ATAAAAGGCCAGAGAGAAAAATTACATTATCGGTCGTGATTGGCCGGACTCCAAACCTGACAAAAGGCAGTAAAGTGTACACTCCAGGAGTAATCACAGACACGAGCAAGTATTTAACAATTTAGAGCAAAGGTCGTCGCTTGACATCATTATCATAAACGGTACTCTGCTGCTATCTTTGTTATTACCTCATGTCCATAATGGATCAGATCCACAGTAAACTGACACCTTCACTGACACCTTCACTGTTTCTTTTAGTGCAAACTACCAGAGCTGCATCAGTGGTCATTTTTGGCTGAATCTGTTTTGTTTTTTTTTCTAACAAACTGTACTCAGTGTGATGTTAACCTTTTCCGTTACATATATTACAAATAGTGAACTCAGTGTAATGTACTTCTAAACTAACGACATGTTAGTTTAGCTTATTAGAGTGCAAGTTTCCTCTCCTGTACATTTCTTATTACGTACAACGCTTTGTATCATTTCTTTCAAAACCTTTTGACTCAGTGGAGTCAAAGACCTGAACTAAATGGTGAAATCTAACACTTTGTTATCATTCGTCTTCCAGTCCAGTTCCACAAAATCACCTGCGTAATCACAATTTAAATTCCAATCAAAAAACTTTGTACTCGATTCTTGGGAAACCCAAACAGCCATTATTTTCTTCAGTCGCTTTTAAAAACCCCTAATTTGTTTTTGCCAACCCATCATCAACTCCTGACATGAAATGAACGACGCTGTCTGTGCTGTGAAGATGAATATTAAAAAAATCAATGTGATAAAGTGAAATAGCTCTGCCACATCAGTAGAATAAAAGACCGAGTCACAGGGGTGTAAAATTTAAGAAGTACTCGCTATACTGCAAATATATAAATCTAAGCTGTTTATTTGGACATATTTAGAGATGCTTTAACTTCTCTGTGACTCAGGACTTCATCAATTTGAGTCTTTAAGACCCTGATTTGTCTGATGTCTGATTTTTCCATCATCAGACCATTGTCTGTTGACAGTGCTGTCTGTTGATTTTGATTGTTTTAAACGTAAACATCTCATAATAACGGCAGAAACTATTCTTCCTTTGACATTTTTGTCCAAATCACAGATAAACATGAATTACTAGATCGTTAGTAATGGACTGGCTCCGCTGTCAGAAAAAAAGACAACGTTTGTGTTTCCTTTCTCCACCGACTGATTGTTCAACACCGTCTGTCAAAGCCATCTCTGTGCATTTCCGGCCTGCGGGCCGAACCTCGCAGTACAACATGGTACACAGTGAAATACTAATGAACTGTCAGTGTGTTGTCTTATCTGCAGCGACTAGAAATTTAAAGTAAACACTCGTTAAACCGTCCACTGTTACACAGGGGGTGCTGACCTCCTCTGTTTGGTCTGGCAGCTAAAGAAGAAAGTACAGCGTCTCTGTGCCCCCCCCCCCCGTACATCTGTTTTCCTCTACTCCAGTGTCTCCAATGGCACATTTGATCTCCTCACACCACACTCTTGTAACTGCCAGTGAATGCTCAACGATGACAAATCAATTCCTTAAATTGGAGGTAAAAGTCTCCTCGCCTCCTCGTCTACTCTCCAAAAAATCTGCAACCAAACAAGGCCAGAGAATCTTAGAAACAAATTTAATTCATAAAGGTTTTCATATTGACCTTCATACAACGTGTTTTTGGGATGTCTTCTCACCAGCACAAAGTAATTTATTCTTTACAGCCAGAGACAAACAAAAACAAGAAACAAGCTTTGGAAGAACAGGGAAGCAGCACTGCACATGCTACAGATCAGGGGTCTTCAACATTGGGGTCTATGCCTCATAGGAGTGCCATAAAGCTACTACAGGTTTGGTCCATATGACAGCTTTTTATTTTCCTATTCTTCTTCTTATTATTATTATTCCATATATATAAAATTTAAATACATTACTATGACATAGGACCAGGGTTGAGAACCCCAGTTTCACATCATTCTTGAACCAATTAAATTTTATAGTGATGAACTTCTTGGAATACTTTCTTGATCACTGTGGTTTGTGGAGTACTTCTGCAGATATTTGCAGGCGTGACACGTCCACATCTGGTCTTAATGAACTTGTAATGTAGCCGTTTGAGGGAGAGAGCTGCCGTTAAGGCCTCATGTCAGAGGACAGCAGGTTCTGATGACTTTTCTAGAACGATCTGAAACCTGAAACAAAGACCAAGACCTGGGCAGGAACCTGGAGTCCAGCGTTCACCTCGGTCATAATGAATGGAATGGAGAGGGTAAAGATTCCAGGGATTGGACAATGTTCTCCAAACATTCCTTTGACCATTGAAGGTGGGGGGAGAGAGAGACAGAGAGAGAGAGAGAGGGGAGAAAAAATGGTTCATTGGGACAATAACAAATGGTTCAATAACCAAACAAACTGAACTTAGATCGGATCCTGCCTCGCCTTACTTCACCTCCCTGTAGACTTCAACACTCTGCTCTGCTGTGGTTTATCAGCTTCCATCTTACAGGTGACTTACACACACACACATACACACTCACAAAACAAACAATGACACCATACATCAGCCGGTTGCGAGGTAACCACAACAGTCGGAGTGACTCACCAGAGTGAGGAGTTGACAGAAACTTTTGTTTTAGAAAATAGTGTGTTATTAAGTGTTTTAACTGTTAGTATATAAAATAAATATATATTTTCCGGTGTGTGTGTTTAGGTCTTTAGTTGCAGCTGTAGGTTCCATCTTTAGCAGGGATTTGTGGTGGGATGAGAACACTTCATACGACTCCACTGAAGTAAAAATACAGTAGTATGACATAATACTGATGTTGTATAGGCCAACTCATTTTTTTAGTTCGAGTACAAGTCAGACTCGAGGCAACAATACAGTCAATCTGTTGGTTATGTCTGCCTGTTGGCAACAGGACTGTTACTATTTATATTAGCCATGTTTGCACAGATTTGTACCAAAAACTGTTTGAATCAGGAAACATTTTCACGGAAGGAAAGAAGGACCATTGTCATATAAATTAACACTGTGTATAGATTGAACTGTTGAACCGTTGAAGGATCTCTTTTGTCTTTCTTCAACTCCTGTGTGTATCAGCATTGTGTTCAACTAAACAGTCTCTGGTTTAATGTGACATTTTTGTTTGTGACATTGTCAAATATTTGCCATGGCTCTAAAAAAAGGTTGGGAAACACTGCTATAGTTCTAACTAATGTGTAGTTTACTTTACTGCTCAAACAACTCTCCAGGCAAAACCCTCACACCAACCCAAGGTTAACATGACGAGCAGTCATATCATGTCTGACATTACTTTCCAATGGAGATAATTCAAATTCAAACAACTTGGCTGCAGCTTCCAGTGCTGCTCAGCATTGGTTTCAACAGACACAACAACCTTAAAAAAGAAAAACTACATGGTATCTCTTGTAGCACACAGACACAGCGTTTAGGTTTAATTGTCTCTTCTGTTTTTAAATCAACATCACTCTGGAGCACTGGCTGCTGAAGTAACACGTGTACCTCCAGAGGTTCCTCCTCAGCCTCCTCCTGCTCTTCAGTGTGACCTCACTACCAGCTTAGATACCTGCGGTTTTCCTTAATTGTGTTGTCAAGTCAGTGTCAAATCATTTTCACAGTGGATGAGCCAAACCAAAGCCTGCCTTCCTGCCAACAACAACAGCTGCCATGGCAGCACACTGGGAGGTCCACTTTATGGGAGCCGGCCTCTCCTCTGCAGAAGGACAGTCGGGAAAGTTTTGCTCCTTTTGCTCAACTCTGCACCCACAAACACGTGTGTGAGCCTCTGACTGACAGCATATACAAATAGAAAGAAGCACAGAAAGAAGCATACTTATTGGACAGAAAAAAAAGTGTTCTTTGTTAGCACTTTAATCCAATTGTCTGGTAAATCAAATAATAAAATCTGAAATGTACTGAAGTTATGGGTGGGAGTTGTACCCGTGTTCTGATGTGTGGCTTTAGACAGAGCTTAAATTAAATATAAAAACACACACACAGACACACACTGCTTGAGCACTATAATCCTAAAATACCTCCAAAACACAGGCACAAAACCGTTAGGTTAGCTGTAAAACCAGCTGCTGCTGACAGAGAGGCCTAAATAATTAGGTCGTCAAGTCTGTTTTATTCCAGAAATGTATTCTTTCTGCTCAGAGTGTTTCCAGCTCTTCGCTACTTCAGCATTTAAGAGCTGAAAACTGTGGGGGAGACAAGGGGAGAGGGACTTATCACACTCCAGTGCACTGGTTCAAAGAAAACGTCCAAAAAAAGTGATGGAGCACATGGGAGACAAACGACCCACGGGGTAAACCCCCAGTCTGAGATAATACGAAAACTGCACATTTGAAGCATAAGCTGCCCTGAAGACTATATAACATTTTAACACTATTTATGTGTGAATGGTGACTTCGAACGCTGTGTTCTATCGTTCGTTTCACACAAGTGTGTGGGCTCATCTGGATGATTTGCAACAGTCTTCTTTGAAGTTTTCCAAGGGAAAGGTCACGAAAAGTCCAAGCGCTATCTGACTTTGCACTTTGTGCAGAATTAGAGCTTTTCCATTGGTGCAGGTTAATTGGCCGTGTACGTGTTAATCTGTCATTTCTTTACGCCTTTCAAATCACAAATGCAAAGCATAACACGAACTTCACCAAATTAGCAAATGCACTATATAAAATGACGATGTTAAAAAATGAATAAACAACGAAAATAATTCCGTCTAATGCAGCACAACACCATCTAGTTGAACACAACAGCAGACAAGCAAACAGGTCTTCTATCAAACAAACTTGACCAATTAGCAGAACCACGTTATAAATTAATTGTATGTTAATAATTTCTGCGCCGAATATAACAATACATTCGATTTAGTCTAAAGCAGCACAACATCGCATCATTCCACCTGTGCACAACAGCAGAAAAACGACAAACAAAAAAAGAATTGTGTTTTTTCAATACGATTTCGTTTAGGTCGCCACTTACCCGTATTCTTCTCATTGCAGCCACGATCTCCACTCGGCTGCTGGGACGGGCCACATCAAGACTACCGATGTACTGTTGTCAGAAAAAAGACATATAAAAGACAGGGAATTAAATAATTTGTCTTTATTTGATGCGTTTGGTATTTTAAAACAATCCCACAGTGTTTGTCTGAAGCTGATTAACCCTTCTTTCACGCACAGCTGGATATCAACGTGTTTTACTCTGGGGTCTAACCGGGGTCCGGGTTGTTTTGGTTTTGGTTTGGGTGTCGGAGAGTATTTAGTTAAAACAACGGTTGTTATATAAACAGTGCAATCATAAACAAAAACTCGGAAGAACAAAAGTTGCACGTAAACTCACCTTTGCCTCGAAGTTGATCCCATGTTGGAAAGCTTCCTCATTGTGCAACGGGATCCTGAGATCGTGTCCATCATCAACGAGGTTGTATTTGGTTTTTCCAGGCATCTTTCTCGGGGAAACAAGTCCAATATACTCCAAACACTTCCAGAAAGAATGACAAAAATGTGGAAAGCGCAAAAACGCAACGCGGGCAGTAATCCAAACACAGGAAAAAGAAGAAGAACAGGAAAACTGTTTTGAATCCGCTCACTCCCTGCGTTCCATTACAGCAGCGACTCGTCCTAGAACCGTAAGCCCAACACTGACGTGCCAAGGCGGCTGCAGCTCCTCCGCCGTAAGCGCTGCCGCGTCACTGTTTACCGTAACAACGTTAACAGCCGTGGTTTCCTGACTTTTCCTGACGCGAGTGTGGAAGTTGATTTGAGTCCTGCCTCCACGCCTTGACTCCCACCCCTGTCTTCTGCCCGCTCCTCACCCAGCTCCGTCCCCCGGCGCACGGAGGGAGCGTGTGATTGGAGGAGCGCACGGTTCCCACCTGTTTCCATTGGAACACAGACGCACGGTGGCTGCGCGCAGAGGAGGAGATAAGGAGGTGGTGAAGGAGGAGCTCAGTCTGGTACCTGCCCTCCACACTAACACACACATCTGGGAATAGTGTGAGTGTCAACCATGCAATTTAAGGTGTGGTGTCGCTTACTGTACACACTCACAAATACGTGTGTGGATATATGAATCTATGTCTGTATGTATATACAGTAGTTATGTATGCGTGTGTGTCCGTGTGTGCATACCCTGGGTATTCCAAAATATGGGTCACAGGAGATGTTTTGGGGTCAACAAATTAATTTCTTGATTTTTTCTATTTTAAATTTTTTAACTAAAACATTTTCAGTGTTTTTACTTTTACTTTTTACATAGTTTTCTGTTTATACTTTAAACCTGTTCTAATAAGGGCTTTTCAATCTTGTCCCAGCCAAGAACCCCGGAACTGATGAAGAGATGGAGCAGAGACCCCAAACGTTATATATATTTCTTATATATAACAAGATACATTTTTATCTCCCCCTCATCATGGTTGACCACAGTTGTGGTCTGCAGAGTTGCATGTCCTTCCAGATTTAACCAACACAAGGTTGAGGAACGTATCTTCAACCTGGAACCAGGAATTCTACAACGCTAGTATCCAGATCCTAAACCACATGTACTGTTTATAATTGTGTTTTATATTGAGCTGGGTCTGGTTCCTTCAGACCCCCAACCCCACCTTGATGATCAGCCAAATGGAAATTTTTTACTGCTACTTACGTTACATGTACTGTGAGCACATCAGCAGGGTCCACATTAAGGCCTATCTACAGTAGTCCAGACCCAGTCCTGATCTTATCCATGGTTCTCACTCCTGGTTACAAATGTGCTTTTCTGTAGATCTCCAATCTGAAGGCACCACTCTGAGGAAACTTTGTTTTGTAAGATATTGGCCCTGTCCATTTTATTTATAGGGTCTATGGCAGCAACCTCATATATTTATTGACTTATTTACACTGAACGGGACTGTGTAAATATTTAATACACTATTTTTTCCACTAGTACAAACTTACATTGATGCAGCATGTACCCTCAGAGAAGAAATTACCTTTCGGCTTGATGCCAAGGAGGGTAAATGTGAAACAGTATTTTACTGCAAATGAAATAGATTTTCTCATCATAGGGTTTGGGTCGTTTGCAATACTTATTTGATTAAACTGAACTTGATTTATTGGCATTATAATCTTATGTACATATATATTTTTATTGTTGTATGAACCCACGTATATAAATCATTGCTCGTGAATAGAACAAAATAAAAGCCAAGGCTACCCACTAGTGGTCAGATTTATTAAGTGCCTCGGACAAATTATAAAATCAATATAAAAATAATAAATTGTGGACCATCATAGACAGATCAGTGTGCCAAGGAATATTTTTGTCATGTTCATCATGTTATTGCATGCAAACATACATACATGTTATTACAAATACTACAAGATATGCTTATATTGTGTACTCAGCTGATACTCAAACATACAAGGATGAAAATGAAATACGTTTTTCAATCTGTTGAAGCCCTCTACAGCGGGAGCATCTTCAGTAAGAGAAACACCTCACCATATGTGATCAGCCAACAAAAGGAGAGACACACTCATAAATGATGCAAGTGTATAAATGCACAGACCATCAATGTCAGTATCTGGGAGTAAAAATGCAGCTCTCCCCCTCAAGGTGGTCCCAAACAGAGGGGGAAGGGGAAGTGGGGCAGCAGTAATTCACTTTCTCACCACCGCTTTGAAAACTCAGGGAACTCTGCTGCTAATGGAGCCCCGTGGGCTCGTAACAAGGCAATTTCTCTCTCTCTGTGGTTCAAACCTGGCATCTGGTTGACAGATTATGTCGTGTGTCATTCGGTCATCACTCTTGATTATTCATTTCCACCTCTGTGGACATGAGCATGCACTTTAAATACTGGGTCGAGTAGATGTTTAAAATCAAATTTACAATTTACTTATTCATTGTGAAACTACCCTGGTTAGTTGAACACAGCACTGATATACATGCAGAAATTGACGAAAGTCACAAAACGGATGAGCTCTTGCAGCACATGTCGTCTTGCTTGTCAAAGTTCTCCTGTTCCCAATGGTCCATAATATATAACTCACCCATATAAGGCAAATAAAAATGTCAAGTGTACCAATATTTCACATTCAATTCTTGGTATGTCAGTGTTTATTGTTTTAGGCCAAAAATGCAAGACAAGCTCATTTGTTTGGCCTTGAAGATCACTGCGCTGTAGGCATTTAAACTCATAAAAGTACTGCATTGTTTTGGGGGGTTCAATTTGTCATTGGTCTTGTTACGGGAATCAGATGAAATACTATTGATAATCTTATTGTTTTCATTATTGGTGCCCTGAACTTTTGCTACTGCCTCTGTGGTGCCTTAAGCACCATCAAACACAAAGAGACACACCCACTTAGAGATGACTGTGTTTGTGTGTGTATGTTGCCTCTGCACTGTTGTCACACATCCTGAGGACTTCTTAATTAATCATAGAGGTTTTTGTAGAATATGGGACACCCGCCACAAGGACCGTTCTCTTCCGAGGTTGGAAGAGACAGAGGCAGATAAGGAGGAACCGTGGAACAAATGAGGATAACACTGCCCTATATTTTAAATTTTGCCCCAATCTGTGTAA